CGCCACGACGCCACGCCACGCGCTGACGCCACGAAGGCGGAGCTTTTCCAGATAACATCGTCATAATCATGGCATAATAATGGCAAACATGAGAACATCACATTGGTGCGTTAAGATGGATACGGGAAGTCGAAGCGGCAGTGACGAGTGCAGGGCTAGACGGCTACCGACCTTCACTCAGCCAACTATCGTTGGCTACACTGAAGTGAGTTACGCTAGCGTGTCGAACTGTGCACCGCGCGGCAGTCTAGGTCATCGAGCCGAGCGTTTTTTTAAAAAAATACTTGAAAATGGTACGTAGATGGACTCGTTGCGCCATCTATGGGTCGCGATAACTTCCAAATTAATGTCAGGGCATGAACCAGCGAAAAGGGTAAATTATTTTTCTACACGAAAAGGACGCGCGCCGAGCCGCAAACCAACAAAAACGAGCATTTGTATTTATGCTCGCCCTACGTGCATACTCGAAAGGCTTCTGGAATGCCCACAACTGCTCAATTGACCGATTACACCGCTTTATCCTCTACCCATAGGGCACTGTCGGAAATTTTTTTTCAACAGGGCAGCGATTTCGATCAAATGGGCCGCTCCGCGGCGCTGTTCGCGCTTCGCGCGGATATCCGGCTGCAGATCGTCGAGATTTAATATGGTAAAATATTATTGTTGAGTGTTTTTATTAAAAAATATACATAGTTGGGTTCGCATAAGCTTTAAAACTTTGGGACTAGCAGTCGGGTAGCGTAGTGAAAAGTAATAGTAAGCAAACAATATGTTAACACGATAACCACTTCGTATGTTAGTCCGGCTTGAAAACACTACCACTTACCAGGATTACTGTACAGTATTTTTCAACCTTTTCGTTGATGCCTGTATCCAGGGCTATATGGTATTGATCAGGAACTGTAGAATGCCCAGAAAACCATCCGTGCTCATGATGATCAAATGCACAACCAGGCTCAGCAAACTGTGAACAATGCAAACGTGTACATGCAACACGCGCACCAAAATTCAGCATAAAAAGATTCAACAAACGTACACGACGCAAGAACAGATGTAGGAAATACATATTATTATTAGCTCTTGATAGTACAGTATAGTGCTCTATCATTATAGCCAGCTTACCTGTCAAGGTCCTGGACATGTGAGAACTGCCATTTTCCCACCTGCACAGCTAGCTGGTTGAGCACGTCTGGCGTGAGAGTTTTCACAGAGTCCGTTGCGATCACACACAGCAGCATGGGAGACAGAGAGGCGAGGTGCAGAAGGTAGGGAACCGTAGCTAACCTGAAGTCGTCAACGTTATCCTGAAGATTCTCCTACAAGGTTTTGGTACGATAGCGACGTCCTCTAACCAGCATTGTAGGCACATCACACTTGTTATTATTGTCGTTTAGGGATAAGGTAAACTGATCAGCTGCACTCCCTCCACACACGCAGGCTTACGCACGCACGCACGCACACACACATGCACAGGCACACGCATACGCACACACATGCACGCAAACACACACACACACGCACATAGATCCACACAGTGACACACCATACCCCCCCCCCCACACACACACATACTCGCAAGCATGCACGCATGCACATACACACACACGCACATACCAGCCACCAGAGGTATAACAGTGACAACCCTCACCCCACCCCATCCCACCACGTGCACCCCGCGAACAATTCCGGTTCGAGCATACGCCACGATCGCGCTCGCCATCGCTACCTGGAAGAGCGTGAGCAGGGCCTTGTGTATGCCCTGCGCGTGCTGCGTCACCAGGTGTCCGAGGATGCCCACGACGGACGCGATCTTCGGCACCTTCTCGCCGCCGCCGCCGCCGCCGTCCGCGGAGGAGGAGCCGCCGGAGAAGTCCGCCTGCTGCTGCTGCGCGCTGCCGTGCGAGCAGAAGTCCTTGAGGCCGCAGTGCACCACCCTAATGATCAACGTCGTCGGAAAGCACGAGCTGAAACGACGACAGCACGCGCGTCGAGCTAGGGTACACGCGTCGGTGTAGGGGGGTACACGCGTCGGTGTAGGGGGGTACACCCGTGGGAGTGTGTGGGGGGTACACGCGTCGGTGTAGGGGAGGGTACACGCGTCGGTGTAGTGGGGTACACGCGTCGGTGTAGGGGGGGGTACGACGGCGTCGGT